ATATATATATATACATATATACATAAATTCAGATGTTTGTTGCTGCCATTAGATGTTGTTTGTGCTGGTTTTTAGAACTAAATAATGGTGTTGTTGCTCATTTGGTGGAGACATTTTTTTTGTATTGCACAGTTGGCAGCAGAGCATTTTCCTGGACTCAGTTGAATTTTACCATTAAAGAAGCCACTCAGCACTGTGGGAATTATGTGCAAAGTTCAAGTGACATCAAGCCATCAGAGGAAGTTTAACAGTGTCATCAGGGATGTCTGTGTCTTTCCCCATGTCTCGACATTTTTTTTATGTCCATGCTTATTCAACATGAGAGTTATTTACTTTGCAGCGTGATTTTGCAGAACAAAGTTTAAGGCTGAATTTATAAGTGATTTTTGCGCTTCTTTATTCTTTGCATTTGTTTTCATTAAAAAAAGTTGTTTTATTAATTAATTGAAGCCATCAGGAGGTTGATGTTTTTCATAATTTTGAGTCAAAACACCTAAAAGTTTAGGCTGAATTCAGATCATCTCCATTTCCATCTATGTAACCTTAGATGTGCATTCTGGTGTCAGAGCGGCTGCTGAGCCGATGGAGGTTGTGAATGGTTTACCTTTCAGTTAATGGGCCTTCGGTCTTTGAAGCTTTTTGTTTGTGTGGTGCAAAAAACCTTATCTGATTACTGGATGAGTCCAAGAGGGCCTGAGTTCCTGGCTGCCAGCCTTCAGCCTTGTAGATCTGATTACTCCTCCAGGTAGAGACCCAGTGCAGGAAGCCAAAACCATCTTTGTTTGGTTTCTCTTTGGGGAAAAGTTTTGGCAGCTGCAAGCCGTCTAATTTAGTATTTATTTTCTTGCCCATATTATAACAGATTAAGAATAGATGTGTTCTGGCCTTTGCTTGCACAATGTTGCAGGGTTGTTTAACTCATGCATGTAGAGTTTTTGTGTGGTGGTGTTTCAGTAGCTCAGTGTTCAGCGTCATTGTCTTCCAATCCTGTGGTAGTGGGTTCAAGCATAGTTTGGTCGTGGAAGAACATCTTTTTTTTGTGAATTCCAATTTTGTTTAAAATGTTTTTTTTCCTTTTTTCACAGTCTATTTATCATTGAGCAACTCAAGTCAAAAAGCTGTATTTAAATGTTCAATTGTGCTTTCATAGCTCAGATTACTTGGTGGAAAAATTGCATAATGTGAGACAATAAATATATTTTTTCCTGCCAGGCAGCATCACTGACTGACAGTTTTTCACTGTCTGTCTTATTTTTTATTTCTTTTCTTTTTGAGGAGATAACATAATCAACAACAAAATGGTTTTTTTTAATTTATCATTTGGTTTCACATTGTCCATTTTCCCTTATTTGTTATGAGAAATAAGTACCAATTTGTTGGCACTGAGCTCCATTGTCATGGCAACAACTCTGCCCATAGCCATTGTCATTTGCTCTGTTTATTCAGTGTTTGGTCACAGCTGCTTTCAAAAGCATAATGTTTTTACAGCTAAGTGGTGTCCCGTTAGTGATGACAAAGAAATATTCAGTAATTTACAAAAATGTGTGTACCATATTGTTTTAATAAAATTGTGCCTGATTTAGATTCAGATTTTGACTGTCAGTGTTCTGAATTAGCTAGTAGATAGCCACCCCTGCCAAAGCAAACAAACATAGAAGTCCACAATCCAGCAAGCATCATGACATTTTGGACAGCAGTGAAAGGACAGAGTTGCACTTGAAGAGTTAAAATCACAGCAGGTGAGTTTGGCTGCCGTGGAATTTCAGCTCGTAGAAACACTAATTGCAGTCAGACAGGCCTGGGCTGGCACTTCAAGCTTTACATCCCCCAGACCTCCTGTCAGGCATCCTGTCTGCCTCTCAGACCCATCACTTTCAAAGTCAGCACAACCAGCAGGTTCATTCAGAACAGAACTAGGAAATTCTGTTTCGCCTCAAGGTTTCCTTGTGTTTATTAAACTTTGTTGCAGCAAAATAATAATAATAATAATAACAATAACTTCCAAAATA